AAATAAAATGTATTTACAAAATAAATAAAAAATTTGTAAAATTATATTGATGGTTATTATTCATCTTAAAACTTTTATCCACTAAAATAACTTCAAAGATTAAAATATTTATAAAATTATCGTAAAATTAAAATCATTTTTAAAGAGACAAAAATAACATAAAAGAGTGGAAAAAAGAGAGTAGTGTTGACTTTGCTTTTTTGTTTCTCTTAAAATATGTATAATAAAGGAAAATGCTTGAAGGACCACCCCGATCTTGACAAGGCATACGCCGTAAATTTGTTATTTAGTCTATAATTTTAACAATTTAAATTCATTTTAATCCCTTCCTTTTTTTTTTTCTAATTATGCTAATTTAAATTAATCTTGTTAGGATTTAAAATTTTTAGGGTTTTGTGCTTACAGTGTTGGGGTTTAGTATTTAAAGTTTTCTAAGGCTTAGTATTAAGATATTAGGTTTAGTACTTGGCTCTTGTGAGCCAATAACTTTAAACCCCATAAGAAGAAGAATTTCTCCGACTCTGGGGTTGGGATTCAATTGCCCACCTCCTAATTGTATACCATTAAAAAAGAAAAAAGATGTTAGGGTTTAAATTGTTAGAATTTTATATTTTATGGTGCTAAGGTTTAGAGTTTTTAAATTCTATATCTTATAATATTAGAATTTAAGCCAATAATCTAAGTAATTTAATGATAAATTTTTTTCGCTGAAAATAAGAGATCCCAAATTTAAATTACATGGCATGCGAATGAAGTGGGATAAGAGGTGGAAGAGGATTGCTTTCCGTTGTGCAATTGATATAAAAAAATAATGTTAGAATTTAGATTTTTTTTAAATTTAGTGTGTAATCTGTTAGGGTTTAAAATTTTAAAATTTATGATTTAATATTTAAAAATTTAGGTGTTTAATAATTAAAAAATTTAAAAACTAGAAAACTAAAATGTAAAATTAAAAATTTTAAGCTTAAAAAGAAAAAATAAAAAAAACTGCAGGAATCGATCGGTGACCGAAGGAACGATGGGTGACCAATCGGCTTGGGGACCGATCGGTCCCTTTAGCGTAAATATAGTGTCACTATGACATTTGATTGGATTCTTCCGTAGATCCAGCTGAAGAAAGAATTTCAATCCCAAAAGAAAAAGCGAACTTCATCCAGAATGTCTCCCTTGTGGAGGATGTAGTTTCAATTCACACTCTTTGTTTTTCAACCTATTTTGGTTTTCGAGTGGAGTTGTTGAATCTGCAGAAATGGCTGCCGTTCCGGTTGAAGAAGCAATCGCTGCTCTGTCCACATTCTCCTTAGATGTACGTTTCTAGTTAGAATTGAGGACATGGGAAGTGAAATGTGTTCTCTGATCTGATCCCTAAGTGTTTTATTTTGTTAATTTTCTTCACTGGAATGGCTTACTTTTTTTTTTTTCCTGCATTTTTATTTCATGAAAATGTCTTAACTTTTTTCAGAGAAAATGGCAATGGGATTTTGTTTTAATTTATTTTCTATGATTGATAATGATAGGATGAGCAGCCAGAAATTCAGGGGCCAGGAGTTGTTGTGTCGAGTGAAAGAGGCGCCACTGAAAGTCCTATTGGTATTCTTTCTCATATTTTTGCTATCTCTTGCTAAATATAGTAAGTGGTGATGTAATTTTAGCTTAAGATCTGTGAATTGAGAAGATCCAAAAAGTTGAAAGAATATCTGCAATGCTTGTGAAAAATAGGAAATCCGTGATTTATAATGCTACATGGATTTCCTTTTCCTCTTCCTTCTGGGAGGTGTCATAGATTTGTTATTATTATTATCATTATTATCGTGCTTTTTCTTTTGTTCATATTTTCTAGAAATGCACATCTAACTAAGAAATAGCAGCAGTTCGGCAGGTTAATTTGTATATTAACTTATACTTACGAAATTTTGTGGTTTCTTTCGCCCTAAATCAGAGAACTGAGAAGAGGTTACTAACTACAAAATTGGGAATCTATGCAATGTAGTAGCTAACATTGGTTTCTTGATGCTCTTTCTAGATTTATTTTGTAGTAGTTATGCTTTTTAATTTGTCTTTATGCATTTTATAACTTTTGAAATTTTTTCTTTTGCAGAGTATAGTGATGTTTCTGCCTATCGTTTGTCTCTTTCAGAGGACACAAAAGCTCTTGTTCAGCTGGTATATGATATTCTGTTTTCACTCTTTTATTATGTCTTTTGAAAGCATAGGACTTGTCTATGTATATACTTAATTTTTTGCTGAGTGATTTAGTGTCAAAACTTGTGTCAAACTTGTGATACTTGTTGCTTCTGTTGTCACTGACTATGTCGTGTATTTTGATGGTTTGACAGAACACTCTTGTCGAGGAGGGAAAGGAAATGGCATCTGTTCTTTATACATATCGTAGTTGTGTTAAAGCACTTCCTCAGGTATTTTCACAATTTTCTTGCAGAAAAAAGTTGCATAATGGTTGAATATGCCTGATATCAGATTTGTTGTTCAAGAATACCATGTATCTCGTCTCTTATAGTTATGGTAAACCACAAAATAAAAGAAAGACTTGATTAAGAGCCATAATATCCTTTTATTTCCTTTAACATAGCAATTTGTAGATGACTATCCTGTTACTATTGTCAAAGGATCTTCCTAGTCAGTATTTATGGGTTTTTAATATCATAAGTAGTATGATTTCCTATATGAAAAATTCATATGTTTGATAAATTAGGCGATTTATGGAGTTGAAAAGCAAAAGCTACATGTTGGCACCAACTAAAGTTGGCTCAGTGATTGTGTTGTAGATGGTTGATTATAGCATAGAATGATTCTCATGTAATGATAAGACATTCTAAGAAACTTCAAAATCCTGTCTGTCAATTCATTTATGAAAATGTCTTCTTCATTGTGTACAACATGGCAGCTTCCTGATTCTATGAAGCACAATCAAGCTGACTTGTATCTAGAAACATATCAAGTTCTAGACTTGGAGATGAGTCGGCTGCGTGAAATTCAACGGTGGCAAGCATCAGCTTCATCTAAAGTATGCATCTGATTATAATTTTCTCTTTGGATAATATATTTTTTGTTTGCATTGCTCCACACTTAAAGTTGCATTCTTACTTATGCAAAACTCTTATTTTTATTTGCAGCTAGCAGCTGATATGCAACGTTTCTCTAGGCCAGAACGGCGAATCAATGGCCCTACAGTAACCCATCTTTGGTTGTTATATTCCCCCATCCCCCACCACCTCTTTTTTTAGATGTTTTTACCTTCTTTTGCTTTGTTTTCAGTACCTTATTTTCCAAGCATTGAACATGTTTTCTGAAGCTTGCATGATTTAATTGTTGATAAAAGAATAGTTTAATCATAATATCCATAAATTACCATTCACTATTTTCTTCTTGATTGCAGGTCGATGCTGAAGCTACTTGATGTTTTAGTACAACTTGATCATCTAAAAAATGCTAAAGCAAGCATACCTAATGATTTCTCTTGGTACAAGAGGTAAGAATCTCCGTTTACATTTATGTCATATTGTTGTCTAGGTTGCATCTCTTCTCTCTCTCTTTCATGTTACAACAAGTACCAGCATTTTGGTTTCTGCATTATGCTCTGCAGCCTAAGTGTCATGGCACTTGGGCTTGATATGGATGGATTATGGTTGGTTTTAGCTTCTTAGAAGGAAACATTAGGAATGGAGTTAGATAGTTGTTAAATTCAATTCAGCATTGTTTAAAGAGCAAGTAATATTTGTTTAAGCTTATGGAAAGTGGAAACCAAGAATGGGAGAGGAAGAAAACGCCTATGCCTCATTTTAATCCTAGTGGGAAAATTCCATTCATCAGATCACACAGATTCTATGGTTTTCTTACCCTTTATTACACATGACTCACCAAGTTCTTTTTCCTTTTATGTTCCAACAATCCTATGTCGACTTTAGGATCAACTAAACTACTAAAAAAAAAAAAAAAATTAGCCAAGTAATTCTTTGAAATGCAATGCCAAGAGAAAATAGTTCTTGCTATGTTTTGGGATGCTAACAAGGGAACATAAAATAAAAAAACCTTCACGAGTGAATGCACTAAATTTTTTAACCAAATTGTGGATTTGTACTTAAATATGTTGCACTCGTGAGCCAATCAGCCAATCTATTTATATTACTATCAGAACATGAAAACTTAGTAATTCTAATGTGGCACTCAAATACACCTAGACATAGTTGAGATTCAAATTCCATCTTCTGGTTTCAAATCCAACAAGAGAAAGTAGGGCTTTATTTAGTATGTTTGAGGTTTTTGGTTTTGGTTTTCAAAATTAAAACAATTGAAAACTAAAATTAAAAATTAAAATTGCCAACTTATTGAGTATAAAATTTTAAAGCAAATGCCCAAAACTCCAAACTTAATTAATTTATAGAACTTATTAATTTTGAAAACCAAAACCAAAAGCTCAAAACTACAACCGTACTAACTGGAGCCTAGACAAACCGTATTACAAAATTGATTAGAATCCTACTAATAGAACCTTCAACTTATTCTCTAACACACTCTCAAGTTGATGTATAAGTATCATGCATGCCTAGCTTTTTACAAAGGAAATTCACTCTAGCCTCAGGTAAGGATTTTGCAAACATATCAGCAACTTGTTAACCTGTTTTGACATTGCTTGGAGCAATAAGTCCTTCCATAAGTTCTCTCACGAAGTGAGAATCAACTTCAATGTGCTTTGTATCTTCATTTTTACAGCACAATTTCATTGGCTTAAACATTCTCTGCGCTAGATCTTGACGCTACTTGTTGCTTTTTCCTCTCTTGTGAGACCAAATTACTTCTAACAAACATACAATAGCTGCTGGTGGAATTTATAATTGAGGGTTGCCATGTCCAGTATTAGGTCTTGGTAGTACAAATTTTGCTGATGCAAAAAAAAAAAAAAGGTCTTGTTAGTACAAGATAATTCAACTTCCCTACTAATATTCTGTATCTCTTTAGATGCTCAAAAAAATACTATCATCTGGTAACAACTTCTCACTTGGGTTGTTTTAGGTTGCTAATTGGTTTTAGATGTATAAACACCCAATAGGTTGTTTTGCAAAAGATTAACAAGATCTTTGTTTCTGTTCAAGGTAACCCATTTCTTTCTCCAATGCTTCCTGCCAACCACGGTGGTCTGCTTAAGCAACCAAGTTAATGATAGTATGAGAGTCAAGACTAAAGAGAACATATAAAGGAATGATGGGAAGAAGGCAAATGATCATATTGGATAAAATAAGAAATGGGGTGTTTTACAACTCTTTTACCTTTCCTGCAATAATAAGATCAAGATCAGTGGGTAGTTTAGTGACAACAGGATTTGCAGACAAGTGTCAATACAAGTACGCCCAAAATTTTGTGGTGTCAAAAAACGAAGGCCCATAGCAAAATCTAATGAGGAATCTATGCTTGTAAAATAGCTGAAGACATTCAATTATTTAACATGAACATTTTCCCTAAAATTTTTTAGGAGCATTCATGTGAAAGGAAGTCCCTGTTAAGTGGGCATCTGGTGAGGTGGATAAATATTCTCTTGCATTGTCACTTCAAATTACCCAAATGGGGTGGAAAATTTGATTTTTGGTGTTGTGAAAAAAATTCATCCTAGATGGAAAATAACTTTGTATGAGACTTACTTTAAAAATCAATATTACACGGAAGTAATTATCCACAAAAGAGACATAATAGCAGATACCTAACATTGACTCAATAGCATAGGGAGCTCAAACATCTATATGAACCACATCAAAAGGAGCAGGGACTCTTTATTCACCCTAGGAACATCTAGGAACTTAAGAGATGTGCTGGAGTTTGGCATACTCAGATGGTTCACAATTCAAAACCAAAAAGAACTTAATCTAGCACACAATTTCTTTAAGCTAGAAAGAGATGGATGACCCAACTAACATAAAGGAAAAGAGAATGAGAAGTATTGTAACAATCCATTGGTGATTCATAATTCTTGCTAAGCAAATATAGCCCACTAGATACTTGTCCTTTACCAATAATCCTCTGTTTGACAGATCCTGAAGTTCACATTAATTACGAAAAATGGTAAAGGAACAAGTATAATGATGGGAAAGCCTATGAATATACACCTAATTATATGGAAAGTTAGGAATACATAATACAAGAGACAATAATAAAGAGATGTTGGGATAAATGAAACCATGGGCCTTGACTGTTGTAGAAAAACTATTATTTAGGGTTGCACTGAAAAAATCTGAAAATAGGGGAAGGGAGGGCAATGTACTCTAGTCGCCTATCATGTGATAAGAAGCTGTTGAGTCGATGATCCATTTGCATTGATAAGAAGAAAGGTAAGCAATGTGTTTACCTGTTTAAACATGAGTCACAATGGAAGAAGAAAGTGATGGTCATTGAACCTAAAATTCAATGAACTAGGTATAATCCTCATCTATCAATGTAACAATCTTGTCATGTAACTTCCAACAAGCGTGCTATTTCTCCATAATAGAAGCAAACTATTTTTACCTTGTCATCAATCACAATGGCCATTTCAATCACCACCCTTAGAGTGGCCATTTCACTCCATGTCAATTTCATGTTCTTTTGATGATTTTGTCTCATTGGCAACCATAACATAACAACGTGAAAAACAATAGTGTTTGGAAACTCACCATGGCTTTCAATGTAACATCAACACAACCACTTCGACACATCACACTCCCAATTCTACTGGTGTTCTTGAATTTCACATACCCAATTCAACACATCAGCACATGTTACTAGGTGCTTTTTTTATTTAACCAGACTTAGAAAGGTAAAAAAAGGTAAATGAGGTCAGATTTTTGTGGTATTAGAGTTAGGATTTAGGAAGAAGTTTAAGGTTAGACTTTGATATGATGTAAGAGAGTTAAGAGAGAAGAAGGGTTGGATATCTGGCAATACTAATTAGTGTGCCAGCAAATCTACTTGTTTTAGTATCATAACATGAAGATTTAGTAAACATAACACGAATACTTAGTAAATTTCTAATGTGGGACTCAACTACACTTAAACATAGTTGAGGATTCAAATGCCCTGTCTTGAATTCAATTGACAGGAAACTGGACAAATTTTGAACCTACTGCCAAAAAGATTTGAATCCTAGTAACAGAACCTTCAACTTTTTCTCTATTACCAATATCAATACCTGGAAGTCTTAAAAGTTTAGGGGACAATCCAAAAACATAAATTTTAAAAGAAAAGAGAAGTCAATGTTGGTCAAGAATGAAGAGAGCATGCAAATTGAGGTAAAAGGGGAAAACAGAGAAGAAAATGGACTAAACAACAAAATTTAGGTCTCCAAGGATTCTCTTTGGTTAACTGCATAATTGGCAGTGAAAGCTAATCATAGTCAATATTTAGTAGGTTTGATGGTAATATTTGTGTGTTGTGTTTGATTCTTGTTTTTGTCATGATTACTACTAGCTCTTACAATTATTGACCTGTTCTGCTAAGGAGTTTAATTTACATTCTCTTTTGGCATATTCCTACTTTGTCAGGACATTCACACAAGTTAGTGTCCAGTGGCAAGATACTGACTCAATGAGGGAAGAATTAGATGATCTACAGGCATGCCTTTTTGGTCCCAAAGGATGATGATGTTGCTACATTGCATTTTGATTTATTTTCTTCTGAAGCTGAAATATTTTCTCCTTGTGGTTATTAATACATTATTCCTGAGTTAATTTCTAACTGTTGCAGATTTTCTTAAGCACAAGGTGGGCCATCTTACTAAACTTGCATGTTGAGATGTTCCGTGTGAACAAGTATCCTATCTGATAGACATTTATAGTTAAATCATTATCTTGCATTCCTTCATTACACTATTTGATATACAGGTTGCCCTGTTTATGCGTGTTGCTTGGTACACTTAAATTCAGGTCCCATTTCATTTGATTCCTGTTGTGGTCCTTGACTGAAAGCAGTGTAGATGATGTTCTTCAAGTTCTTATAATATTTGCTGTTGAGTCATTGGAATTAGATTTTGCTCTTTTGTATCCAGAGCGGCACATGCTTCTTCGTGTTTTGCCTATTCTTGTTGTCCTAGCAACATCATCAGAGAAGGATAGTGAGTCGCTGTACAAAAGGGTGAAATTTAACAGACTGATAAATATATTCAAGGTACTAGGGACAAAAGGAGGTATATCATGTTCAAATATTGTACAAAATTCCATTATATATTACTAGGGATCAACTTATGCCAGCGTAAGAAGTTCAAGTTCTTATCCCACTGAATATCTTTTTGAAAAATTTGTATCTCTAAATCCACCATTTTCTTTTTGGCAAACATTAAATCAACCATGAAATTTAATATTTTACTTGTGTAGATTATGCGTGCCAAATTTCTAATCAATTGAATATTTCTAACTATTCTGGTAATAACACAAAATTTTCAGTCATTAAATAAGTATTGCAAAAGAGAATTACTTGATCAAACTGTTACATATATTGGATTGATTTGAAATTTGACACACATTATGTTCATGAATAGTTTGTTAAATCCAATGGTTCAATTAATGCATATACTAATTCTTATATGTTTGAAACCAAGATAGTTTAGTTAATAACTTCTCTTTCTTGTTGCAGAATGATCCAGTGATTCCTGCGTTCCCAGACCTTCATCTTTCTCCTGCTGCAATTTTCAAAGAATTGTCAATGCACTTCCAAAAGTTTTCCAGCCAAAGTCGTCTTCTAACTCTACCAACACCTCATGAACTTCCACCTCGCGAGGCACAAGAATATCCTCTGCACATTTTGATTTTATTGATGTTGTATCTTGCATAAATTTTTGGTCCATGATTCTACTAAACTTCTTTTTGCACTTTTATTTTTGATGGACAAAATGAATAGCTACTCTGTTATTTGTGCTGTCCTTTTAATAACTATTGTAACTTACTGTGAGCATGATATGTGGCTTGGGCCAGTGTTGCAGGTTTGATACATTAATTAACTGTGAAAGTGGAGGCTTGAGTCATGAATGAAAATAGTAAATATATCTGATACATAAGTTCTGCTTATCAAGTTAGAAAAAGAGGGCCTTGTTTTTGAATGTTTTGTGGCATTGTTGAAATCAATTGAGAATTTTTGTTACTTTGCTTAACATTACAATTCTTAAAGTAATTTGAATGCTCCTAGATGCATTACTCCACACACATCTGTATTCTGTATTGCCTGTAGAATTATCTGAACTTCTGCAGTGTAGAAGATCTTCTGCTCTTGCCTTAGTTTACCTTGACAATATTACTTATCAGAGACATTATCTAATTGTCAATCACATGGCAGCAATTCGTGCTGAACATGATGATTTTACAATTCGTTTTGCTTCGTCTATTAATCAGGTTCTCCATCTGAGTTCTTTTCACCATTCACCTCACTGGCATTCTTATTGATGTGAAATATAAGGCATTTGTACTCTTTCTTCAAACTCTCTTTCTTTTTTTCCAGCTATTACTGTTGAAGTCAAATGATGTCGCAGATGTTGAGTGGTTGAAAGAAGTTAAAGGAAATATGTATGATATGGTTGTTGAAGGCTTCCAGCTGTTAAGCAGATGGACAGCAAGAGTTTGGGAGCAATGTGCATGGAAATTTTCTCGCCCCTGCAAGGACGTTTCTTCTCCAGAGTCACAGGAATCCTTGACATCTTATTCTGACTATGAGAAGGTTTTTTTTTATTTTTTTGTGGCTTTGTTGCTTTTAATTAATTTGTTAAGCTAGCTTGGTCAAAACTCGGATTGAAGTTACCCAATCTTAGATGGTGCTTTTACAATTACATTCATTCTTAGATTACGATATTTTGATATACTAGAACTTGGCTTTGCCATGGGCATTTGAGAAGGTATCTTCAACTGTTATTAATGAAGTCAAATCCTTATTTCCTATAATCAAATTTAAATAGGCTCTGTAATTGGTGGAGCGTCCTGCTGCAGTATTGGTAATTGCCCTCCTTTTATAGATAAACATGGTGTGAATAATTTGTATCTTTTCTTTGATCTTGGGTTTTGGTTGCTCTTATAGGTGGTACGATATAATTATAATGTAGAGGAAAGGAAAGCACTTGTGGAACTGGTTAGCTACATAAAGAGTGTTGGATCAATGATGCAGCGGTGTGACACATTGGTGGCTGATGCTTTGTGGGAAACAATACATGCTGAGGTCCAAGATTTTGTTCAAAATACACTAGCTACTATGTTGCGGACTACATTCCGAAAGAAAAAGGACCTTGCAAGGTGTGCATTTAAATTGGAATTGTATATTTGTATTACAATTAAACATTTTCATATGCTTCCAATTTTCAAATCCTATTTTTTTATTTAAATATTTAAATTGGAATAAAGTTCTATTTTTGCTGTTATCTCAATTGATAGGATTATATCATTATCTTTATTAATAAATCAAATTTAGGTAAGTATGGAGTTTCACGAATGGAATCAAAATTATCCATTTTTCTGTATAGACTAATGCATATAGACAACCTTTTACTGGTAGTATCTTAAATAAACAAGTGTGATTTATAGAAAGGAGACTTGCCATTTCTGCAGCTGTGTCTTAATAAAATAAGTCTTTTGTGACTTATTTGTTATTACTAAAAGTCCTATGAATTACATATATTTTGATTGTGGGTTCAATAATTTGCATTCCACTTTGCCAGATTATGTTTCATAAACTAAAACAGCCTTTGTGCTTGCGTGGATTTCAAATATCAGATTGAATGATATTGTTATGCCAGTGCACCAAAGATTTGTGTGAAACAGATAAAATAGACAATAGGATTGTGAATCTTTGATGAACTGTTTTCATTCTTGCTCTTCAAATGGAAAGTGCCAAAACTGGATTCGGTTGCAAACTGTTTTAAGACTTTGAATATTTCACAGCAGGTAAAAGTTGTCTTCTTTTAGAAGCATTTTGCTGCTACTGCCTTGTTTAACTCTGCTCAGATAAGGGCAAACATTCCTTGGTGCTTCTTGGATAGGAAAATTACAATCAAGATACTTAAAACCTATACTTCCTGATAAGCTTATCAAAAGCTACTTGCTTGCTTAATAGCTACTTAATATAAAATGTTGATATGCTTAATTTGTGCCCATTGTGAACCAAATTTTTTTTTAATAGCAATCTGTAGAATTACAATTAGTTTATGAGTTTCAGCTGAATTTGTTTTATGTCTTGATTTGGCATCCCTTGAGAATTTCATATCTGCTTGCTCTTTCATGTACACTTAAAGCAGACATGGGAAATGTATGGATTTTCACATTAACTCAACTTGTTATGATCTTATATACATTTTCCCATAAAAACTTTATAATGGCTTATGTCTTCTTTCAAATTGCATATTTTCCAGGATTCTTTCCGATATGCGGACTCTTTCAGCAGATTGGATGGCAAACACTACCAAGCCTGAATCCGACTTTCAGTCTTTACAACATGGAGGTGAAGAAACTAAAGGGAATTTCTTTTATCCAAGGCCGGTAGCTCCAACAGCAGCACAGGTGTCTCTAATTTTTATGTTATTTTATTCATTCTAGGAAAAAATTTCCCCATTTCTTATCCTAGTTGCTGGCTTTTCTCATAACATTTATGTATTATGTGTTTTATTCTTTTTACATTCAATTCTAAAAATATTGTTATGCTATGGAAATGAACTTTTGCATTAAATTAGGAATATGTCATTTAGCCTTTTTTAACATATAACACATGTTCTGTTTTTCTCAACTCAGCTTCGCTAAACATGTCATAAAATATAGTTCATGATTTAATGTGATTGGGGTATAATTGCAAGTGAAGTACTTAGTCATATAGACTCCCCACTCATTTGAGCATCACTGTTTCTCGTTTTATCCAGGTTCATTGCTTGCAGTTTCTGATATATGAGGTGGTGTCTGGTGGTAATCTTAGGAAGCCCGGGGGGCTCTTTGGGAACAGTGGGTCTGAGATCCCTGTTAATGATTTGAAGCAGCTAGAAACGTTTTTTTACAAGCTTAGTTTCTTCCTGCATATACTAGATTATTCAGGTATCTTTGGCCTTATCCACTTTTCATCACATTTTACTTATTAAAATTTTTTCAGCTTTCATTGATCTGTTCTTTCTCATTGTGGTAGTGATTCGTGAAAGTGAACCATTTCTACATACATAGTGGATAACAAGCTTTAATAATTCCAATCTAGTTACTTGAATTTTAAGGAGAAACTGAAGCAAGGTAGATTGGATGTGCTTATGGGCAAGAGCTTGTAGTTTCTAATTTTCAATCAGGTTTCCAATTCCATACAGTTTTGCTAACATAATGTACTGAATTGGAAAGAGGTATCATCTCTGGCCTGAACATTTAATTGTACTGGTTTCTCCTAATGTATTGCTTCGCTTCTCTGATATTTTAAATTTGTAATTAATACTTAGTTCTAGCTTCTGTTCCTAAATAGTAAAGAAAACAAAACCATAGAAGTTAATATAGTATATTATTAAATGGAATGATTATTAGATTTCTAGGTGTGTACATCAACAGTGGAATTGATGTGCTTACTGTATGCCTATAACTGATAACTTTTTTATAAAAAAAAATAATGCTTAAGGGACTGAGAGGTTCCCAAGCCAGGAGAACAAACTATAAAAGTGAAAAAGCTATATATTAGTCCCTAAACTTAACTGACACTTGTTTTGTTGGCATCTCAACGTCCATTTGTTCACCTTTTTCATTTTATGTATTAAATCTATAGATTAGTCCCTAAGCTTAACATTTTAGTCTTATTTTGATCCTTCTACTTTTTAAATTTATTTTTTAGTCTCAAACTTTATTTAGAATTTAATTTAAGGTTTATGTTTTAACATTTTTAGAATTTAGGGTTTAGTATTTAATGTTTAGGGTTTATATTTTTAGTGCTTAGGATTTAGTATTTAGTATTTAGGGTTTATGGTTTATATTTTAGATTTTAAGATTTAATATTTAAGGTTAGGTTTTAAAAGTTTAAAATTTAGAATTTAATGGTTTAGACATTAAGTTATTATTTAAATTGAAACAAAAATTAAACGTCATAGGACCTAAAATTAAAATTTTGAAATTCCTAGACATAAAATGTAAAAGTAAAAAAGCTATAGTGACCATAGGTCCTAATTTGGCTTGGGGAATTGTTGGTCCCTGTAGAATCACTCTTTTATTATATATATATATATATATATCTATTTATCAGCACCTATAACTAACACCTAAGCCTGTAGGGTTTAAATGCCTGTTTCATTTTCCTTTTGTTGAGTTTTATAAATACTAATAAATGAAGGAGAATTGCCTCATTTTGTTCCCTCATTGCTAAGAAATCTTTGCAAATTAATAAAAAGAAGAAAAACCACAAGGACCCATTTCTATCCCAACTAAAGAAAAATCAAAATCCTTGCATCATCTTCCAGACATTAAATATGTTTGTCAATTTTAATATTATCTACATTATGTTAGTGATGCCATACAGAATCAAGGAATGTGATTGATGTTTCAAACTTCCTTGGCTTTCAGATTGTGTTTGCAATTACTGATTTTGGATAATGTTAGTATCCTGTACTGATACCATGTGTAGCCAACAATTTCCTTTGAAAAATATTTTCCTAAGTAGCATCCAAATTTATATCCATATGTTGCATATTTCCTTTTGCTGACCTTGTGTTATATCTAGCTGAATTATTTGCTGGGAGATGTTAACCTCTGTATTCTTACAGACAGATTTGTGTAACACTGATCAGTGTTCCTGTACTTTTAATGATGAAGGAAAGCAAGTTTGTCTGCTCTTTTTCAGCATTCAACTGATGACTTTATTATGAATTAATTTTATTCTTGGTTTATTGGTTTGCTGCAGCAACTATTGCAACTTTGACAGATCTTGGTTTTTTATGGTTTAGAGAATTTTATTTGGAGTCTTCTCGTGTCATTCAGGTAATGAAGATGAAAGCAACATGCTAATGCCATAAATATTTATCTCTTTCTGAATTTAGCATATGAAAGTTATATGAGCAAAGAGCCCCATGTAATTTACTAATTTGATTGTATGTTGATTATTCCATGCTGATAATTCTAGTGAGATGACACTTTAGTTTCAAATGGAAATTTAATGCATTTACACAAGGATGAATAGATGAATTCAAAATTTTAGAGTAAATTACAAATTTACAATAACTTGATTAATCTGGGAATACTTAAGATCCTTTATAGCCTTGATACTATATGTTCCATCTTTTCCATGATTAGATTATTGATTGTGGCTGATAACCAAAGTTTTAGAATGCAACCTCACAAGTGCACTGGAGTTAGTGCAATGAATGAGAAGACTAAAAAATATTTGGAGTTGGGCCCTTCAGCATTCAAATCTTAATATTAGTAGGTAATGTATTTTTCAGAAATTCCCTTGTCACTTGTCAGAGATGCTCACAATTTCAGCTGGGGAAGAGTGTAGGTAGAGGAGTAATCAGGTAGCTGAGTTGTTTCTTTAGTGCATCAACGAGTAGGAGGTTGGCTAAAAAATTTGTTGCTTTTACTCTTTAATGTCACAGCAAAGCCCTGGGCATTCAACAAATGTAAGATATTAAGTTTGCTAATGAAAAAGTAAAAAAAAAAAAAAAAAAAAAAAAAAAAAAGGAAAAAAAGTACTACATAAATATGTAAAAGGGTCATCCTTGTTTAGATATGGTTTTAGTTTTTA